GGGGGGGAACGAATGGTCTATGGTGTACTCACCTGTTAGAATTTCATCTGCCAGTCATCATTAAACAGTTTTTGTTGTTTGCATCTAAAAAAAGATGTGATTTCTCTAGCTTTTTTAACTATTTTTTCAAATTCACTGACGAGCACCTAGCTCGCATTAAAATGTGGAGTATTGAGATGGGAAGAAGAAGAACGTATCAAATGCTTGAGAGAAATAGTTATGGGGAAAGGAAATGATGCAGCAGTTATGATATTTGGGATAATAAAGTTTAAATTTTTGTTCAAGTTTATGCTGGAAAAGTAGTGAATAGAAGAAACTGAGTATTGTAAAATGGAGTATTATCAAAACGGGTTCTTTTATTGAATTGAAGTGCAAAAAAAGTTTTTTTCTGTTGATTTTGCTCATACACAGTACTCTGAAAAACTTTACCAAAAATGTTTGCTAAAATCAGATCTACTTAGTTCTTTGCAAATATGAGTGTTCTTTATTCTTCTTATTCTAACGACATCAGAAGCAGTAATGGTCAAGGTTTATACTTTCATGTTTTTGGCTTATACTTTTAAAATTGTTGATTTAGTGGTTTTAATGAAAGTTGAAAGATTTTTGCTTTGGTTTGGATGATTAGTAATTACTGGAAAGAAATTAAACGTAAAATTGTCTTGTTGCTGTTGAAGTGAGCACATCTTATGGTCACTGTGCTGCTAGGATCAGTAGCATATAAAAATCCTCTGTTGTTTGGAAAATGAAAGTTTCAACTTGAATTTTATGATCATATGCATATTTAATGTTAAGAGTTGATTTTATTATGCCAGCGATTAAGAGAACATTTCCCACTGCTTTCTCTGAATCATTTTTTTCGAACCATTATTTTATTTTTGTTTTCTTTACTTCTTCTTCAAACAGTCGCGCTAATTTGTCTTTTATAGCTGGGCTATGACTCTAACAGATTAACTGAACCACTTCAGTGATTTCGAGCGTTAAATAGCAGTTGCTATTCAGTATCGTTCGCTGTTCTACCGTTAAGTGCAATTTTGCGTGCCAAATATACAGAGTTAAAGTTTCAGCTGTGATAACTGCTGAATAAGCAGTCGAAGGTAGGAAGTTGAATTGGAAAAGTAAGCAGATATTACTGGAAAATTTATTTTTTTTTACGTTTGGAACGAGGGAAGAAGTAAGTAGCGTGACCAATGCCGATTCTATGAATGGTGCGCCGAGGGGCAGCCAACACTGCGGTGTCGCGCCGTCAGACGGCGACACGCAACCGACACCGTCAACCATGCAAGGAAATTCAGTTCAACCTCAAACCGGCAGTGCTGCTGACAGCTTTGTGCAGAATACCGAAATCTCAACCACACAGGTAAATTGTTAAACCTTAAACTTGACAATCTGAACAGCACCTGTTTCTGATGTGTTGTTGATGTTTTGAGAATGAGAAGTCAGTATAACAGCGGTTCCAGCGGTAGAGTGGCCTCGTTTATCAGTAGAAAGTCTGAAATCAGGGCTATTTGAGAGAGTTCATTGTACAAAAGCATCATCAAAAGAAATTTTTTCTAAGTGTTTAATAAGTTAAATAAGTTGAAACTAAGAAACAAGATAAATTATCCAAATTTTGTACAAATTATTACGATATATATGCTTCCTGTAACTGTAATGTATGAGCCAGTTTTGCATATTTTGTGCCAAACAGGGAATGAGTTTACGGTAGTTCTAAGCTACAAGAGTAGGAACAATCAATGTTGTTCAAAAAAAGAAGATTGAAAGGTTTTTGTTTTTTCTTTTAATTTATTGTAATTGAATTATGTCAGTGGACTACTTAATGTGGAAGAGACTGATTCTATTGTTCTTTGAAAATTTTTTCAAACGTGTTTGGTTAAAAGAAGCAAAAGAATGTTGGTGTTTCATTGAATAATGAAAATATGGTGCTGTTTTGAGGTTTTAGCCGATGAAGCACGGTTGGAACATCCTAAACTTTCTTCTATTGTTTAGTGCAAAAAGTAATATTAGGAGCAGTATTTGTTAATTATATAAGTTTAAAAGATTGGTCAATTGTCTGTCGTATATTCCTCATTATCAGCATTGTTTGTTGTCATTTATTCTCGCTTTCTTGATGTGATGTTTGTTGGTGGGCGTTCACCGGGGTTGGGCCGGTCCGGTTAGAGGTTGCTTGGCTAAATAGGGGATTTTGTCAGAAATTTGTTCTTTCGTCGCCACTAATCAAGTATTATGGCTTCCAATGTTGTTATAGCACACTCGTATTTCTTATCTTGCTTAAATGCTTTCTCCTGCTAATACTTCTCCTTTTCTACGCTATCAGAGTCATCCCAGTTAAAGGTGAGCAGCTTTATGGATTTTTTGTGTGGCTTTTCTTCAGAAACTGTTCTGAGCAGCGACCTACGTAAAGCATATCTATAAAAAGGTGAGTAAATTAATTAACTAGGTTTTACATATATATATATATAAAACCTAGTTAATTAATTTACTCACC